ATACGCTGTTGAAAGAGCTGACGAACTGATTTTGTACTCTCCTGAACTTGGAAATCCAGGTATACTTAGGCACTTAGGTATACGCGGCTGCATTCTCAGGTATACCATACGTCGCTACACACCTACTGCAGGGTTTCCTTTCCCCGGCCCGAGGCACAACGGTAATTTCATGGAACAAGAAGGAGGAATGTGAGCGGAGCTTTTCGGGTTTGGGGCGTTTTGGGTTTAGATCTGCTCTTCATGAACCACTGTGCTCTCCTCCCCAATGTGTCTGTGCTTCCAGGGCGCATCAGCTCGACCAAATCACTATCCGGTGCAGCAGCGCTGGCAACAGAGCGGCGATCTATGAACTGGCAGGGGTTGTTGCTTGCAAGCTGCATGCTTTAAACCTACTATATGGGCCTGAATGATTATTTGGAATAGGGTGCTGGAGATTCTTAAAATGCAACTCTATCACTAAATGGCACTTATAAGGGGACACTAAACATTGGGGTCTGGGCTCTCGGAGACTTGTTCTGGTTTCGAGGCTGTGCATATCTGCTGGGGCGACATGCCGTGAGTCTGCCTCTCTGCTCTTGATCTTACCTTCAGTTTCCATTGCGGTTCCGTTTTTCGATTTCACCAAAGATTTTAGGATCCTAAACATGGCCTCGGATGGAAATGATTATCTAACGCCCCTGCTTCCAGCACAACGTCCTCAGAGCACCTCTGGCTGCGGCGCGTTTGCGGTACTTTTCCACGTCTGCCTCTTCAACCGAAAGTACAAATGCCTATAGCCTGCTTCCTTGGGTTTAGTGCCTAATTCTGCGAACGGAAGGAATTGATGGTTGCATTCTTCCCCTCGCAGCTCCAGCCGCCCCGACCCCTCCGCCCCCCCTGCACACCCCAGCCCAAAAACTTCATTCCGGTCGAAGGTCGATGATAAACTCGACGAGTTCGGCGCTTCAGCGATTGGACCTGGAGGTTCAGGATTTGGGAACAAGGAAAGCCCTACATGCCCGAGAATGAGGACGATTCCAGGAGCACCCTTGAAAGCCAAGAACACTAAAACCCTTTTGTCTTAGTCTTGCCATTCGCATTAGAACCGAAAACAGCGGCAGCATCGTACAGGTCTTTGCGACTGGGCCCGATGCAGGTCTCTTCAATGCCACGAAATCCTTGACGAACCTCTCGGCAGAAACTCGTGTGCGCGAATAGGGCTTCTATAGCCTTCAAGCTCAAGTGCTGGTTGAATGCCGGTACATACAACGCCCTATGGGATCTGCAAAGCTTCGTGCAAGTGCAAGAGAAAATTTGGGAGTCAAGATGCCTGCAGAGTTAGGCTACTTTCGACGTGCACCGGAACGTCTTTCAAGATCGGGGGGCTGGGCAAGTTGCAGAACGTCAACTCTAAGGCAACCCAGGTTTAGGTTTAAGTCACGGGCTGGTTGCGTGGGGTTGTTCAGGGCTTAAACGTGTTCGTCTCTTTCTCTTTCCACACGCCTACTTGGCCCAACGTCCACCCATCGCTCACTTCCGTGGAACCCATGCATGGGTGCCCAACCACGTACCCAAACAAACCAAACCAACATGGAGACAGGCGAACAAATCCCAACAATCCAAATAGTGTCAATACCCCACAACTCCCAACGAGGACCAAAACTAACTTAGCCTGCCAGGCCTCACCAGTCTACGGCCAGTCTGCAACGTTTTCACAAGCCCCAACAGACTGCATTTAGTCAATCTCCCAAAACCGCAACATGAAAACATCAAGCCGGAATCCTCCTAATCCTCATCCCATACCACTGCTTGACCCCTTTTTTCACCCGAAACCTAAACAAACCGTCCTCGGAGGTGGCAGAGAGTCGACCCGCATCCTCTTGATGTTGATGGCTTTGCAACACAAACGCGCATGCAGGCTCCGGTGTTGTGGATTGGGTTTTTGCGAACTCCCCTACGTCGGTAAAACTGGGTTGTTGGGCTTGCCTTCGTGGTGAAGGTGGTTTGCAGAAATCTTACTTTGCAGGCTGCTACGGCAAAACTTAAACAACAAGATGTAACACCGCGGGCATGATCCCACATGCTGGACCAAAACATGGGTCTCACAGCGCATGGTGGCGCACGGACGGGTCTCAGGGCATGCAAGTCAAATGAACTGACATCCACTGCGAAAACAGACCCTGCCTGAACTCTCGGGCACAGCCTTTAAACCCCAAGCCGCAACCCTTGCAAAACCAGCCGTGCCTGACAATCTGCATGCCAGCCTCCTTCGTCAAGACTGTTGCATAAGTTGTTGTATTTCGGATTTGCTTCAGGCATGGTGGAGAAAGCAGCGGAGCGACAATCTTGAACACTGCCCCTGCCTAGCTGGTAGCAATAACAGAAAGAAAAATGTCAACAACGAAATATAACTAAAATGTGTTGGGCGGGTAGCTCACATTCTACAACTTTACATGACTTTGAGTTTGAAATGAAGGGTTCGGGACTGTTTATGAGGGAAATGATTGCATCAGGCTCTTCAACACAACAGACAGGGAAAGTGCTTGATAGAAGGGCCGCTTCCGAATGGGGGTATGCAAACATCCACATGCACAAATTAATGCGAAACACTAGCACGCAGTGCGCGAAACCTAAAAAACTGTGTTGCCTGCTGTGGGGATACACGAGACGAAGAAGTGTCTCCAAGCCTGCGTTCCTAACTGAAAATGACCTTACCCACCGTTTCCCTGCAACCTACTCTGAAACCTAGCCTACAAACCAGAATTCAAGGTTTATCTTCCCGATGTCCTGCAGTTGAGCTGGCTGTCGACGTGTTTGGAGGAAGTTTAAAGCCACGCCTGCCCCGATGCCGGGAACATGGCTCGATGGCTAGCAACTAGCTGGCAAGCTTTCCAACCCATGGGCGAAGGAACAGCTGTGCACATGAAAACATGGGCCGTTTTGCACCTGGGGTAAACTCCAGCCCGCTGCTCCGTCAAGCATCCTGCGCTGGGTCACTAGGTCCCTGTCAGAGCTTTCGCAGGACGCTTCTTTGCATGCTTAGCCGAAAGCTGCCCGAAGTGCTTTGCAAGGGATTGAAAGCCCCAGAAAGTCGCCAAATGCCACGGTGTCTTCAGATGTTCGCGTGCAACTGCCTCACGCGCTGTGAGGGGGGCATGAAAGAGTGGAGTGATGGGCTTGTTGTCCCTCGAGCTCCACCCAGCGGGCACCTTGTAAGTCCCGAAACCTGACCGCAGCTGTTGAACCATCTTGCAATATGTATAACCGTAGCAAAGAAATATCTCTATGTCGACCACAGTAACTCCAGGCTCAACATTTGGAAAGCATCGCGTCACATGGTCTTGGATGCGTGGCTGCAAGTTTGTCGCCAGCTGCAGAAGCTTCCGTGTGCATCCAAAGAACACGGATGCACCATTCTTCGCGCCCGGACCGAAGGGTATAAGTTCAATGGCCATCGTGTGAAACCGTTCATGTCCGGAGACACCAAGGTAGCTCAAGACCTCTTTCACGGCTAGGTGTCCGAAACCATCAATGGCATACATCTTTGACAAGAAATCTGCTGGGTTGAAGTTGAATGCAGCAGTCAGGGTTGGAACCGATGCATGCCACCCCTTCAGCATCAATTGTCTTGACTAAACCGCAACCCCTTGTCGCGACCGTCACTGCCAAAGAATTTCAGGACATGGTTTCCGCACAACTGCGTATACGACATGGCAAATTTGACCACTGCCATGGCCTGCTCTGGGCTTGTGTCATAACGCGTCAGACCAGGAGTAGCGCAGACGTGTTGCCAAGGAAGCCCGTCGACGCCTCCAGCTCCAAGCCATGTGTATAGCATCAATTGCCACATCTTGTCGTGGTCCATCGCATCGCCTCGGGCATCCAAAAATGCCTTGGCCCGCTGGCCCTCCGGTGTCGCAAACCAGCTTCCGCAAAGCTGCTCGGGAAAGCGGTAGATCACTGGACATAAAACTGTTGAGGACAAGGTCTGCTCCCTCATTAGGCCCAGAATAGACGCAAAAAGGACCTCCGTTTCCGACAGTGCGTCGTGCCTCAATTGACTCAAGTCCAATCCCACGGTGTCGGTCAAGTGCGCTCGTAAATCTGTAACCAGGTCCTCGACGGCCATGGCCGACTTAACACCCCAAGGCAATGTGTATGTGTGTGTGTGTGTGTTCGTACAATTTAACCATCACAAGTTTAATCAGAGATGTATGCCTATCGATCGGTCGATCTACACCTTTTTGGTCTAGTATTCTGTGTGGCAGTGAACCCTTCTTGAAAAGCACCGACTTGTACATGCCCGTCTGGTTCTCAGAGCTGCTGCACTCGTGGCAGACATTCCAAGCATCTGAAGCATCTGAAGCAGGGAGGACCGAGGAGCCTGTCGAACCATAACCCCTGAACCTTAAACCTTAATTAACCCTGTGGACCCTAAACCACAAATCCCTGAACCCTAAACCCTTTTTTAATTCCTAAACCCCAAACCCCTAAACCCTGTAAACCCTAAACCCCCAAACCTTGAACCCTAAACCCCAAACCCCTAGACTGTGCGCCTAAACCTTAGAACCCTGTAAGAACCTCATTCCCACCTGTCGTCTCCAGAAGCTCTGAGGCGCATCTGCCTCAGGCAGCGGACCGTCGGAAGGGTTACTGAGCCGCTCCTCGCTATGCTTGAAACGGAGGTTTTAGGGTTTAGGGTTTTTTTTGTGCTAGTTACCTTAAGGTTGTTCTTCAAAGGAAGGTTTTAGATTGCAGGGCTATTCAACTTAAGATGTGTTTGTTTGCTATGTTCGGGGCTTACCCGCTGCTCTTTAGGATTTTAGGGCTTAGGGTTCATGTATTAGAAGTCTTTTTTCGGTTTAGGGTTCCTTGCATGCTAGATGAGACTGAAGCTGCCATAACCTACTTCCCTTGCCCCAATCCCCCAGATATTCCGGCATTCAGGTCGCAATACTGCAAACCCTATAGATCCTAAACCCTTATATATCAGAGCGCCGGGCCATATAGATCCTAAACCCTTATATATCAGAGCGCCGGGCCATAAGTGTCCTTCTGGTTCGGATCCGCCGCAGCTTTGAGCAGGAGATTGTACAACTCCTCCTCGTGTCCATAGTTGTCGGGTCTGCTCGTTGGGGTTCCTCGAAGGCTTCCGTACTCTAGGATGTCCCAGAACCCCAAAGAACCCACCTTCAGGACATGTATCTAGTGAAATTATAACGGCGCCCTGAAAGTTGTAGGTTTCCTGGGGCCCAGGTATAGGTTTGAAGTGGAGGGCTGAATGCCCAACAATTCCAGAGCAGAGATGGGTTGCGAGTCGAAAACATCTCCTGGCATCCTTTGCTTTAGGGTTTCGGGTTTAGGGTCTAATTCGTGCTTCATGTAGTGAATACGTAAGTTCTCGGAATGGCTGGAATGCAACCCTAAATCCCCAAATTCCTGAGATCAAGGCCTTCTTCGGAAGTTTCAAAGCTGGGAGCTTCGGCCAGGAAAACTGAGACCCAAGTTTATTTATCTAGGATCCTATATAAACATCTAGGTAACCCATTGAGGGTTTTAGGGTCCGGGGTTTTGGGGTCTTGCAATCTAGGGCTTAGGGCATGGAGGGCTTATCGAGGCTTCCCGAAGCAGGGATTGACGCTGTCGGCCTTGGGACGATTTGCCTGCAACTTTTCAGGCAAAGTTGAGCTGAACATCCCCCAACACCTCTACTAAGCCCCAGCACATGTGTCGATTTTCTTGAATTGACATGCTGGGGGGCTTCGACATGCTGAGGGTGTGTGGAATTCTGAGCTGTGTCTTCGAATCGAAGTCCTAGACCAGCCCCAAGCAGGGCAACCCCTCCACCTCACCATGAGTCGCTGCAGCGTGCAGCGCCGTGCCGCCAGAGACATCCGCCTGAGATGGCGCTGCCTGCCCAGTTGGATCGCTGGAGGGTTTCAGGCAACTCTGAACCCCGAACCCATGACCCAGGGCTTTCGTCGTTTCGTGGCTCTCATTGCATACGGGAGCGGGTCCGAATCTTGGGTTCCAAGCGCCAAGAAGAAGTCGGAGGGCAGGGGGGTCCTTAATGGTGCCGTCTCTATGCGTCCTCATAGTGAACTAGTCGAGAGCTTCCTACTGGGGGTCTAGATTAGGATCGCTTACTATCGAAAATTCCCATTGCAAAGGCATGTCTGCAGTGGAGGGTCAGGGATGGGGGGGGGGGGGGTTGAAGAACACCGACGGAGCCTCGGTCAATCCGACTTTCACCCAGTCAAGATGATACTAAGATCAAAACATATCATATCACGAGATACAAGATATGTTACACTATCTTATAATGCAATATGGTATGATGTATGAAAGTATACTGCGTTTTAGTAATATAGCAATATAAGAATAAAGTACAACATAACATGTAAAGTAAAATAGTATATTGGAATATCGTAGAACATGTTTAATTAACGACCCGAAGGTCTGCCCTTCTCATGGTATGCTGCGGTATGAGGGGATACATTGAGCATGAAACTAAGGTTATGGAACAATCGCCTACAACCCTGGGTCTAGGTAGCATCTCATTCTTAAAGTGCGTGCCCTTCTGGAATTCTATCAGGCATAAAGCGAAAAATAGCAAAACACACAACCTGGCGTGTCTGGCTGAAGTGGGGGTACGAGAGGACCACGACGACTACATATGGGTAGCTGTCAAAATTATGGTCCCTTTTTGGGTCCCCTAAACAATAGGTGCCGTATTAAAATAAGGGCCCAAAAAGGGACCCTAATTTTGACAACCACCCATATGGTGAGAGCGACAACAGCCTTGGCGTGCAGCAGCGTCTGAGCCACGGTCTGCCAGCCATGGATCGCGCAACACCTCATGTCTACCGCACAGGATTTGGGGGTTTCCGAAAATAGGGGACCCTCATATAGTACCCTAAATAATAGGATCCTTATTCTAAGGACCCCCAAAATAAGGTACCCCCCTAATTTTCGGAAACCCCCATTTGAATGCAAGGTGAAAAGTTAGTTAGCATCACAGTGGGCTTGATCGCTTGTCATAGGTCTCAAGACGATGAGCCTGCATATGGGTAGTTCTCTAAAGTAGGGTCCTTCGGGGGTCCTTTTTACAAGAGTGCCGTACTATATTGGGGACCTAAAAAGGGGGCCCTAATGTAGAGAACTACCCATATGCCTGGGCATGCCTGGCTCCCTTCTGCAGCGACTCTTTTTAGCACTCTACACGAGCGTCGAGAGTAGCAGCTAGCACGGGAGAAGCAGTCTTGGCCTCACTATGGGCATTCAAAAGGCGCCACGCAACGACTGTGGACTTCTAGCGCCCGATCAGGGAGACTTCTGTCCGGACCTCTCTCCCTTTGCGCTTGCTTCTAAGTCGTCGATCTTCTCCTCTTGCATCTTCACCTTGGCCTGCAGGTGCTTGATGGCTTGATCTTCCTGGAGTTCCTCCATGGCCAGCTTGGCCTGGACTTCGGCATCCAGCGCCGCCTGCCGTAGGAGCTCCTTGTTGTTCTGAGATCGGGCTTCATCCTCGCTCACCTTTTGCGATAGGCGTGCCAGGTTCTCCACCCGTTCCGTCTTCCTCTCTTTCTCCTCGAGATCGGCCAGCTGGGTCAACTCATCTTTGAGCTCTTTCTGGGCAAGCTTGAGTTCACTTTCCTCGGACTTCGGGGGCACCGCAGCTCTGTGCGAACTCCTGTCTTCTTCATGCGAAGGTTCATGTGGCAGTCCGGATGGCCTTTCATGTGGCAGATGGGAGGGCCCTTCATGTGGCTGGGCAGTAGGCTGCTTGGGAAGCAATGTCCACATGAAGACGACAGCGGCGCAGATCGTCAGCCAACGAACACCGGCACTGTTGATAGCCCCTGCGAAGCTGCAGCCCTCGTACTTCGCCAACATCTCTGCCTCAGGCAAAACAACAAGGCGTCTTTCTGGATCCTAGGCGGCAGGAGCCTCATTGTTAAAATTATCAGCAACCCCAAACACGGTAGTCACGGCATTAACAAGTGTTTTTGTTCTTTGTTCTGAGCGGGGGTGCCTACACTGGCCTACTTGTCCTGACACTCCCCGATCATCAGATCTAACTAGTAGGATCCTCCGTGTAAGCACCCCTCAAAAAAATCAAGCGCATACCTCCATAATCGCCCTGAAATTCTTTGAACCCCTAAACCCGAGGCCCCATCCTAAATCCCAAATTCTAAACCTTAATTTTTTTAGCTCCCAAAGCTGCCTCCTTCTTGGCCTTCCTCGCCTGCCGGCTCTGCCGCCGCGTCTGCGTCGGCTGCTGACCGAGGAGTGGCTGGCGGAGAGAAGAGGACCTGGTTTCGACTCACACACTCGCACGANNGCTGGCATGGCAAGAGAAGGTCCCGACCTGGTTTAGGGTTTACCTGGGCCCTGCATAACCTATGTGGTTTAGGATTTACCTGGGCCCTGCATCACCTATGTGGTTTAGTTCACCTGGACTCTGCATAACCTACGTTGTGGAAGGAGTTACAGAAGGAGATCAGAAAATGGAAGGTAGGTTCCTTAGGGTCCAGGTAAGGCTTAGGCGCTGAGCCCAAAGGCCTTCTACGAACTGCTAGGTGTTATGTAGGATCAGTGTTTGGGTAACATGGTCTGCGCGATAGTAGGGACCCCATAGTGGTGGAGTATTGCCCGAGGCTTTTTGGCAACGAAGAGGACCTTCGGGTCTGTTCCCTCCCACTTAGCCAGAGGTTTAGGGTTGAGGGTTACGGGCTTGCTTAAGGGCCTATACCGTTTTACTATGAACCCGCAAAATTAAAAGTTACGGTAACTGAACCATAGGCTCGACATAGGATTCCCCAGACCCAGAAAGACCATAATTTTGACAGTTACCCTTATAGACCCTTTTAGGGTACATGTCGTCCCTAGGGGACCTGCCGCGCTCGCCGCGAGGGGTCCTCTTTGGCCTTGGAGAAACGACGACCTGAATCGGGGAGCCTGGTGGGATCGCGTCTTCCTTACTTGTCCAGGAGCTTGAGGGTTTAGGGTTTAGGGGTTCAGGGACAATTTCTTAGACTTAGAACTAAACTAAGGTTTAGGATGGTTACATTACTTGCCCAGTTTCTTATAGGGAACCAAAAGCTCTAAACATTGACCTTTTGATTTATGTAGAGTGTATACTGGGTAGTACGACCCTTACTACCCGAAAAGATAAGAAGTTGCACTAAGTCTACACCTAAGCTTCGGTTTGGGTAGCAGCGACGGAAGTGCTGGGCGCTCGGTCGTGTCTGGGACATGGATTGGTCTCCTCATTTTCCTCTCGTGGCCTCTCTGCTTGGGATGTGGGGGCCGCAGGTGCTCCGTCCTTTGAGTCCTTCCTCCTCTGGCCCGACGACTCCGACTTTCGCTCCATGTGTGCAGTGTTCGCATCTTCGGCCTTGGATTGCTGAGTCTCCTTGTTCTTGTCGAGGTCCTTCCGCTCGGTAGAAGATGAGGTGCTCGATGATGCAGCCTCCTGCGGAGGCCTGCGTGGAGCTTCGACTTCCATGTCCGACTCTCGAAGCTCGGACTTGGAAGCTGATGGGTCGGGATTGATCTTGTCCTTCAGCTCCTCTTTCGCGGTGTCGATGTGAAGGCTCTCCTCCTTCTCGCCCCGAGGATGGAGACTGTTCGCAGACTCCTCGAGGCAAGTCGGGGCGTCAGCCTCCTCGTTCAGCCGCGGAGGGGGCTCTGGAGGCTCCATCGCGCCAGTCGACGAAGACATGGCAGCCAAAGGAGGCGACTTTGGAACAGGACCCAGAGACAGAGACCTGGGCCTAAAAAGAACACATGCACTGTGAATCGGTTCGATGAAACCTGCCACTCCTTCTGGCTTGGGAGTCTGAATGGGTCTTCGTGTTCAGCCTGAACTGTTTAGGGGGGTTTTTTCTAATAATGATAACCAGAATCGATAGTTGGAATTTCTTATGCCTGAGGACGACTGTTGGCCAGCGCATGGATGAGAGCGCACAAAACCAGCCCCGTCCTAACCCAAGTTTGTTGTTTTAACACCTCTTTTTCGTCCGCCCAAGTGGAGTTGGAATGCCACATGAGGCTTCGGGAGACCGAGAGAAGGGGATTCAACAGACACCAACCCGGTTTGTGAGTTCTAGATTCTAGAATTCTAGAATTTATCTCGCGAAAAGTTAGGGTCCCGGCATCAATGGCGACTGCGGTGGGCAATGCCAATCACCTCGACCGCGCTTGAAACGCACACTGGGCATAGACTGCAAGGGTCTGAGCCATACCACCTAAACCACAAACCCCAAACCCCAATAGGACATGTCCAGCATGTAGAGCTGTAGGGCAGGAAGGGCATTGGGTTTGCCACTTGCGGAATGCGAGGGCCGCATGTGAGAAAGGATGTGTGTTTTGGCTCTGTCATTGTCACGAGTCTCGGACAATCGGATGAAGCAGGCGAGGGGAGCTCGGATTTTCGACTTTCCGAGAGTTACACTTCAACGGCACAGAGTCACATAATGGAGACCCAAAAATTCAGGACCCTCAACAAAAGTTGGGGACCTACACCCTGGTACTATGAACCCCCTTTATTGCAGTTGATCCTAGAATCCTTTTTGCGGTGCCTTTCGTCCTAAAGGATCGGCACGGCTTTCCAACCCTCACTGCGAGGACCCCGGCCTTGGCCCAAGACCCTCCCATTGGGATCAGCCGAGGCTTGCAGCAGGAGCTGCACCTGCACATAGGAACACCGGTTTAGGGTTTAGGGTTTACACAATAATGTAGAGTTCCGGTTCATGATTTGATTGAGAACCTGGTTCTGAGGGTGATTGCATAAATAGGGACAAGATTGGTTCTGTTTAGAGCTGCACATCATACAGTTTTTGAGAGCTTTTAGGGTGTCGGCCTCGCATCGTTCAGTGCTCAGGGTTTCCGGGCATGGGCTCTAGGGTCGATGTTTGTTGTGAGTCAGCGGCGCGGCAGGACTTGTGTGGCGTGACCCGCTGGACGAAAGGAACGGACGTGAACCCGACAGCTCAATCCTTGGCAAGAAAGACCTGTTTTTCTCCCAGCAAAATCTAAAGAAGCTTTTGCCCTGAGCTCTGCAAATTCTGGAAGCCTTCAAGAATTCTCTTAAACCGTGCCCCGGGCGTGAGCCTGTCCGAAAGCGCCCTAAACCTCCTCCCCAACCCCTTTCGGGGGCCTGTTTGGTCTCGGGCTATGTCTCTCTCTCTCTCTCTCTCTCTCTCTCTGCAACTCTCAAGCCCGATCCCCGAAAGCCTGGCCGCTTGACCCCGCTTAATCCCCAAACTCTTCAATAACACTTCCAGCCGCTGGCCCTTAGAGGAGCCCTTGAAGGACTCTAAAAGTCCGACCTTATCTTTCTGTCTCCGGCTCCCTGCTATGGTACCCCATACAATCTCATCATACGGTATTATAGAGTTCATTTTAGGGGGATGATAATTAAATTGGGTATTATGTATAGTATTATGAATTCTCAATATACTTATCATCCCGCCTTTGTGCCCTATAGATCCCGGCACAGACCCTAAAGGCACCCTTCTCTGCAAAGCCGGCTGGTAGAGGTCACGCCTCGGGGTTTGGGCTCTGGAGCTCACGCTGCGGCTTCTTCCTTTAAGGTGCTTTGATCTCTTTTAAGGGCTCCTACAGGGGTGACTTAGGGTGCCACAAGACTATGAGGACTGCTATGTCTGTCTTTCGATTAGGGCTTGGGGCTTACCTGGGACCCTGGATCTGG